CTGCCGCTGAAGGGTAATGAATTCAAAGTCCGTCTCGATTACATACAAGACCTAGCTCAGCACAATTTTCTTCCTCAATCATCACCAAAAAAAAAAAAAAAAAAAAAAATCAAAAAAATAAAAAAAAATCATCACAATGAGTCACTTACTTTAGAGGAAAATCATAAATCTCTTCAAAGTTTAAGAAATTGACTATTTCCGTACGTGTTAATGAACCCTGTCTCTCTATCTCTCTCTGTGGGTCAATGGGTCTTCATGGAACACGGGGCTCAGGCTTCCATCTCGCGTCCAAACCGCGCCACAGGGCCCAGCAGAACGAATACTGCACCATGCGTTACCTTTTCGGCGATGCTGTACAGAACCTCATCCATCTTCATGCAAGTGGGGTCCCAGTCGTGTCCGAAACGAATGACGACCACGCGGTCCTCCTCCGACAGGATGGCCTGGTCTACCTGCCAGCCATTGTGCAGATGCGGGAGCATGTACGACATCTTGAGCGGGCCTGCGCGGCCGGAAGCCGCGAGCTGCCTGCGGGTGCAGAGAGCTGTGAGACCGCGACCCCACCGGGGTCCCAGACTCTCCGCTGAGGACCCCCCCCCCCGCCGCGAACCCCGCAGGCCAACGTGACCCGCAAACCTCTAGTCGGGGCTCGGGGCCTACACCGGGCCTCGGCTCGCACCGGGACCGCACCCCTGCACCTCCGTCTCCACGGGGACCATACCCCGGCGGCCCCAGCCCCACGGGGCCACACCCGGCAACCTCTAACCTCGTGAGAGCCCACGCGACCCGACCGCCGGCGACTCCTCGGAGCACCAGCGCCCTCCCGCGCCCCGGAACCTACGGGCGTACGCACTGACGTTGCCTATCGCTGTTGCGCAGGCGCACGCTTGCCCCGCGCGCATGCGCCGTGAGGACGTGGGCGAGCCGCAGGCGTGGTTACCGCCTCTCGAACGCTTGTCTCGCGCGCATGCGTGGTGAGGATGCGAGCCTGCCTCAGGCTAGGTTACCGCCAACGTAACTGCCCTTGGGTGTCGGCGGAGGGCTGCGCTGCACTCAGCGGTCCGTGAGGGCATGGTTCCCGCTTTCTTGGCGGCCGCTTCCTCTACGGAGAGATGCCCGTGTCTAATCTATCTAGTATTGTGGGGTGGTGGTTTGCCTCTACTTTTTTTTAGTTTTTGTTGTTCTGAGAAACATGCCAAGTCTTTGGCCAAACTTCAGCCATGCTCTTGATCGTTTCCGTAGGTCTATCTATGCACTGTTGTGTAAAATCTACTCTTCCAGCGCCATCAGACGCTCCTGAATATGACCAAGTTTTTGGCCCTCTACCTTACCGCAGAGGTCAGATCTTGACTTCAGCCATTGTCCTCCTCCTGATTTTCTCTTTCACAGATCCATCCCTCTTCCCTCATAATGGTCCATAGTTGGTAGAACTAACTCATTTTCCTCCCTACAAGATCCTGGCGCAGTCTTCCCGAACCATCTTCTTAAGCTTTTACAAGTAGGATTGATTGCCCTTTTCGTTACCATATGTATGTCTATATGCGTATACTTGTGTGTATTTATGTGTGTATAAATTAGTCACTTTAACCATGTACTGGCATTAAGTACAAGGATATTTGTACTGTACAACCATGACCGTTATCTCCTGATAAAATTTAGAAACTAAAAAGCAGGGGCCGGAGAGATGACTCTGAAGTGAAAGCATTTTTTTTACTCTTCCAGAAGACCCAGATTCGGTTTCCACACCTAAATATCACCTGGCAGCTGTTCATAACTCCAGTTCCAGGGAATCCGGCATCCTCTTCGAGTGTTCTCAGGCACAAGGCACAAACAGTGCGCTTACATACCTGTAGGCAAAACCTTCATACTCATAAAAAAATATTTTTTCTTAAGTTTAAATTCATTCTTGTGCTACATAGTATGTTTGAGGCCAGTCAGAAATACATACGTTCCTGTCTCAAAAATAAAATATTTTTTTAAAAAACACCAAAACCTTTGTTGACATACACTGCATACATGTGAGATGAGGTGTGAGAACTGTGGATCTGAGACTGCAATCAAGTTTAGGGGGAAAGTCACTCTTAAAAGAAAAGGCAATTGTTTTCCATTTCCTTATCTCTTCATCTTCTGGCAATCACTAACCTATATTCTGCTCATAGACTGACCTATTTTAGACATTTCAAATAAATGGAATTGTATATAGTCACACCTAGCAGCCTTCCCAAGCCCAGATAGTTTCATGTTCTGAAGTCCATACACATTGTAGGTAGCACCAGTATTTCCTCTTACTGCCTTTTAGCACTCAATGACATGGATATACCTCTATATACTATTTCTCCCCAGTTCACTGACATTTAGGTTCTTTTTTTTTTTCTCTTGCTGTAAATAGATTCTTCCCTCACATAATATGTTCTGATTGGGAGATCCCGTGTGTGTGCATCAAGTGTCCGCAGGCAAACTACTTATGTCTGCCCGTGGCAGACACATTCAGCTCAGCACGAATCTCATTGCTCGATGGGGCCCACTCCAGCTGTGATCCTCCGTCCGTCTGCTCCTCTCTCTGGACACTAGCCTTATACTCTGCCTCTATACTTCTGTGTCTTGCCTTCCACAGCCCAGTGTCTCTGCAGCTCAGTTCTGAGCTTCCAGTCAGCTTAAAATTTCATACCTGAGACCCTGTGGCTCAGCTCTGAAATTCCAGCAGATCTCCAAATGGATTTCTTATATTTCTAACCACTTCTGTCTCCATTAAGGTCTTTTTTTTTAATAATTATTTATTATGTATACAATATTCTGTCTGTGTGTATGCCCGAAGGCCAGAAGAGGGCACCAGACCCCATTACAGATGGTTGTGAGCCACCATGTGGTTGCTGGGAATTGAACTCAGGACCTTTGGAAGAGCAGGCAATGCTCTTAACCTCTGAGCCATCTCGCCAGCCCCCTCCAGTAAGGTCTTTTTGAACTGTGGAACCTTGTTAAAACTTTTGTAGCCTCCCTTAACCTACGCATGCACGCGTACGCGCACATCCACACACCTCTTGTGTGTGAGGTGTAATGTGTGATCCAAGAGTTAATAAGATTGGCCTAAAAGAACCTGTATTTGCCAATAACAATTGGAAACCAAGAGTACTTGGTAAAGCGTAGCCAACAAAACCAGTATCATCATGGATCTAATGCTATTTACTACATTCTGGCATCATGGGAAGACACAGACTCATGTTTCTGGCGTAGTATGCTATAAAAGCTGCTTTGCAGATGACTCTCTGAGTTCTGTTATTAATGTTACTATCACCTGCATCATTTTCATCATCACCATCCAACACATCCTCTAGAGTCTCTGCCACCCAGTGTGTTACTGTTCAGGGAACCAGCTAATCGATGAGATTAGCCTTGGGGAACTTAAAACTCCAATTCATTGCATAGACAGTAATATCATTTTACTTTAATAGTGAAAATGGCCAGTTTGAATACATTTCTTTATAAAGAAGTTTGAAATGTACCATCTCCAAACAGGCTGCTCTGATTTATTTATGGTTTTGAATTAAAGGCATTTAAAAATTAGTGGGTACAAAGAAGTTCCCTGACTCGTATTGTTTCTTAATAAGAGATGAAATTCCTGTGTAGAGTTGTTTTTCTTGGCCAGGCGTGGTGGTGCGCACCTATAATACCAACCCTTGAGATGCTGAGGGATAGGGTTTTAGGTCAGAGCCCTCCCCTGAAATGACAATCCTCTGTTACCACTATCACATTGCTGAAGGTCCCTTCTGTCTCCAGCTACACCTTCCTCTACGAGCTGACTGCTCTGGTCCTTGGGCCTTGCCACACTTAGGCCCTACTGCTCTGTCCACTGCAGTATCCGTGTGACTGGCTACCTGTGGAGCTACCATTCCTTATGGGATTTCATGCAGCAAAAAACTTATTTTTATAAACTCCACATAGGTTCATCCTGCTTATCTGGCTTGTATCAATTGAATTCTCTAGCCCAGACTGAAGACAGAAGTGGATTTTTGTGTGACCTATCATCACATGCATACATTATCCTAAAATGTACTCCTTGTACTGACTGTTGGCGAACATGACTTCCCTTGACACCTGGAACAGAACGACCTGGAGAAATAACTAAAATAGGTCATTGTTCTTAACAACTGATTTCAAAAGCTCAGCCTAAAAGCAGTAGATTTAAATGAAAGCACCAGGTTTGTTTGCCATTTGAATTTGGGTGAAAGCTCTGGGTTAGATCTACTGATTCACGGTAACTTCCGTCTTGCTAAATTCTGATACGTCCCTGTACTATTTCTCCCCCATGACGAAATGACTACTTATTTGAGTTGAGGAAATACTGGGGGAAAACGTGGGACAGGGAAGCTAACAATAGTCACGAAGAAAACGGTCCTTGGAGGACTGTAGGCTGTGGAGGTAGGCCCGTCTCCCATCTCCTCACCCAAAGTGCATGGATGCAAAGCCTTCTTAATTCTTTATCTGCCTGGTTTTTCACTTTTGGAAAATATCTTAAAACTAACGCATCAACCCAGAGACAGTATAATATCGGTGACCACCATACATTGTTTCCACACACAGGGGCATTGCAGGTTTGAATCATCTAAAGCTTAACTGTCTCCTCAAACATGTCCCTTCTTTAGTGGTGAAAACGTCCAAAAAACCCGTCCAGCTTTTTGAAGCGCACACTACAGTTTCGTCACCATGGCCTTGCTTTAAAACAAGCTGGGTGGGGCTGAAGAGGTGGCTAAACTTTTAATGCTTGGCTGCTCTTCCTGAGAGGGGTTGCTGAGTTCCCATCAAACCATCAGCAGTTCACCTCGGCTCCAGGGATCCCACGGTACCTTCATTCATAGAAATAAGAAACAAAATAAATAATGGCTTAAAAACAAGATGCTAAGTTGTTGGGGTCCCTGGCCACACAGCCTGCAGTTGGAGCCCCGCCCCCAAGCCGTCATAACTCCGCGCAGTAGCCCCGCCCACCTGTCGGTTAGTCCCTCCCACAGGCGACTGAGGCGTACCCCGTGCCCAGTGGCGGTCGCGTCTATAGTCGTCTCAGGCTCACAAGCCCGTCGGTCCTGCGCCCACTCGTGTTTGCGGGCCGCGCGCTCGGAGGGATGTGGGCCGGAGCCGCGGGACTGAGGGGCTCCTGCGCGCGGCTGCAGACCCTGCGGGGCGGCCATGGGGCCGCGCTTCTTTCCGGCGGCGCGCAGGCCCTGCACACCTCGGTCGTTTCCTGCGGCAGCAAGAACTTGCTCAAGAAATTTGCCTCGAAAACCAGGTATGCACCGGCCAGGGTCCGCTGAGGGCCGGTCGGATGGAGGCTGTTTCTGCAGGGGACAGATGTCCTCGAGGGGCTGGGTCGGGACCGTGGGGTAGGTGTCTGTGGGGAGGGGAGCGATGATAACGATATTTGTGTTAGAAGATTATTGGCAGGCCACATGCAGTTTGACCTTTGACAATTTCCCACTACGCTTTCAGGTTTTTTTTTTTTTAATATACAGTGTTATGCCTCCTGAAACATCACATTGCATAAAATTTGTCCTAATTAGATAATTTTAGTAATAAGTATATGAAAAGATACTCCGATTTCGCTGGGTGGTAGCTTCGCGCGCCTTTTGGGAGGCGGGGGCGGGGGGGATCCCTGAGTTCAAGGCCACCCTTGGTCTACAGCATGAGTTCCTGGATAGCCAGGGCTAAACAGAGAAGCCTTGTCTTGAAAAACGAAAACAAAACAAGAAAAAGATACTTTGATTTCCACAGCATCTTGGAGTCTACTAAGTGTGGTAAGCCAGTTTATATTTAGGGAGGTTTTGTTTTAACAACTGATTTTACAGGTGGTTTTAGTTTACTGAAGAAGGGCATAGTTTTGATACTGGCCTCAGATTCTTTATCAGAACTTAATGTGGTATCCTTAATGTCCTTTGCTATTCAGACATGGTAGCTTGGCTGACATGTTCAGTCTGTCCCAGTTTGACAGCTGTAATGGTTTTGGGACATCCTGGTTGGAAGTTGTGTGGTTCCACACCACTGGGATTTGATGGCTTTTTTTCGTGACTGTATGTGGGTTGTGGAGTTGGAGGAAAACCACTGTTTTATCAAGGGCGGATCTGGCCACTGTGCTTACACTGCCCTGGGGTGTTAGGTGTCCCTTTTTGTCATTGTTGGTAAGAAGTTGCTTTGTGTAATCCCTGACCTTAGGAGGTGAAGAACTGTGATCATGGATTGTTTGGAATTCTTTGTGGGAGATGTACCCCTTCATTTATTAATTCATTTTTCAGTATTGACTAGTTAGTGGTAATCAACTATTACTTTGTTTTGTTCAAAGTGTTCCATCTTTGGTCATCAGCAGCCCTCTCAGCTGCTTTGTTCCCTTGACACATCCCATATGTTTAGTGATTCTTACTTTGTGGCACTTCAAGATGTCTTTTTAAAAAATATTTATTTATTTATTATGTATACAATATTCTGTCTGTGTGTATGCCTGCAGGCCAGAAGAGGGCACCAGACCTCATTACAGATGGTTGTGAGCCACCATGTGGTTGCTGGGAATTGAACTCAGGACCTTTGGAAGAGCAGGCAATGCTCTTAACCTCTGAGCCATCTCTCCAGCCCTCAAGATGTCTTAAGTTCATCTTACATATACCCCCATCCCCCCACAACACTAAGAATTGGTCATTCTTATGAGGAGCCCAGGTTACTGTGCTGGGAAGCAGAATCTGGGAGCAGGGTGTTAGAGTGGCGTTTCATTTGTATTTTAATAAATAAAGCTGGCCTGAAGATCAGAGAGTAAAACAGCTCCACTGGTCAGCCTTACAGACCAGGCAGTGGTAACACACAAGCCCAGCCCTAGAGAGGAATATAAGACGGGAAGAGACAATTCACAGGCTGAGTCTCATTCTGAGATTCCCAGAGGCAAAATCGCCATTTTCAGACTGAGGTCGAGGTAAGAGCCAGTGGCTGGCTGCTTTGCTATTTTGGTCTTCAGGTTGAACACCAATTCCTGTCTCTGAGTTTTTGTTAATCGTGCTTCAGGGTATTGGTGTATCTGGCCTTTGGTCCTTCTACTTGTAAGCGTTTTGTGCTTACCTGAAGCCTCTGTCCTCTTTCCCCACCGTTCTGAAGCTCCCTCCTGTCCTAACAGTGAGAAGTGAGGCTTTCCTCAGTTTCCTAACTGCTCAGTTCGGCACTTCAGAACCCTCAACCTTTATCTTCATGAGTGGTCAGTGAGGCCTAGTGCTTTAGTGAAATTTGGAGATAACATCTTCCCACTGTAGACAGACATGAGTCAAAATTACAGGGTTGTGTTAAAACTGACTTCTGTCCATCCCCACAGCCATATTGTTGTCCACCAACCTTCAGTGGTTGTTGCGTGGTTCCCATCAACATGTCCCTGTGTCTCCTGAAAGCACTCTACACTTGGAGTGTAAGGCCTTTTGACCTAGTTTATGCAACTCTTTTTTTCTTACCTTTAATAACTATCCCATCTAATTGTTCCTAAAAAGAGACTCCCTTTTTAAAGATTTATTTGTGTGTGTGTGTGTGTGTGTGTGTGTGTGTGTGGTTTCTTAATGTAGTCCTGGCTGTCCTGGAACTAACTTTGTAGACCAGGCTGGCCTCGAACTCACAGAGATCCATCTGCCTCTCCCTCTAGTCCTGGGTCTAAAGCTGTGTGCCACCACCGCTTGGTCTATGTCTATGACTTTTGAAGATTTGCTCATATCTTTCATCCTCCACTCGGAGGCAGAGGCAGGTGATCTCTGTGAGTTCGAGGCCAGAAAACCAAACAAACCAACAGAAAACATTTATTATACGTGTAAGAGTATTTGGTCTGCATGTGTGTTATGTGCACCATGTATAAACCTGGTATCTGTGGGGGTCTGAAGAGGGCATCAGATTCCCTGGGAACAGTGATTGTGAGATACCATGTGGGTATTGGGAACTGAACCCAGGTCCTCTGAAAGAGTAGCTAGTGCTCTTAACCACTGAGCCATCTCTCCAGTGCCCCTCTCCCCACATCTAAATTTTGTCTTCTTGATGTAGAAAGAAGTTTTGGTATGAAGGTCCGTCCCTGGGGTCTCACTTGACTCAGAAACCATCCAAGTTTGAGTTCCTCACGAAGAGCACCCTACGGAAGGCCAGGAAAGAAGACACCATCCGTCTAAGAGCCCTGAACGGTCTTCTCTACAAAGCAGTGACGGAATTGCTGTGCACTCCGGAAGTGAGCCAGGAGGTCTACGACCTGAATGTGGAGGTCTCCAAGGTGAGCACAGGTCAGAACTGGGGCAGGAAGGCACGGACTTAGTTTTGCCTGAACCCGTCATACTTGATGTCTTGGTTGGAGGTACAGAGGTGGTCCCAAATCTGGTTTAAGTCTTGGGACAAGGTGCAGAAGTAGAGCTGTTTTTCTTCTTGGGTGAGGGACCTGTGATCTCACAGCAACCAGTGCAATGAGACAAAGCACCAGAAGATGTTTTGGGGGTGGTGTGGGATCCACTGTGTTCGCTTTCAAAAATGTAGTGGGGTCCTCCATCTTTCCTAGAAGGGCTGATTTAAGAAGAAATAGGGGGCAATTGGTCATTTCCAGTTCCCCACATCTGGAGAGATTACTGTGCAGCAATGCTGTGGGGGACATGGGGGTGAGCTTAGGTGTCTGTGACCCTCCTTCCTTGCCATGAATGCTGTGGTGTCCAACTGGCATCACCAGAGCAATCTGGGTGTCGGAGGCAAAAGATGCTGTTGTTCTTACCTGCAGCACACTGTGTGAGCTGCGAAGCCTAAATCTAAAGTGACTTACTTGCAGCTGGGGTGCACCCCAGGTCTCTGTGACTTCAGACTTCTCAGCCTGCCGAGTGTACTGGAAGATAGGTGTCTCTGCAGACCAGAACAGGCACACGGAGGCCGTCCTGCAGAGGAGTGCTGCCTACATAAGGTGATGATGTTTCTTTGTACGTGTACTGCTTTCTGCCTGCATCTCAAGTGGCTTGGCTGTTTGTCTGTAGGTAAACTTTCAAAATTTCTCACTAAGGGCTTTTGCTTTTAAGGAAAATCCTGAACTTCAGAGTATAAGTTGTGTTTTCCTGTAAGGCCTAATCTAATCAGATCTCTCAGAAGTTTTGTGGGGCACCAAGAGTTTTGTTCAGACCTCTGAGGCAAGAACTATTTTGTCAACAGTTGGGCGCTCCTTCTGCCTCCCTGTCTAAGGCTAGCTCCTTATTGCATTACTGCCCAGGCTTACACGGTGCCTCGTTCACCTAAAAATATCCTGGATAAACAAGTAAAAGGTAAAAGTACATGATTTTAAATATCAGCCCTTGATGGGGAACACAGGCAGGTCTCTGACATCTGCTGAGGCACAGCCCTTCCCTCAAGGTATTCTGTACACACACACACACACACGCACACACACACACACACACACACACACACACGAGAGAGAGAGAGAGAGACTGTCTACAGCTTCTCAAGTGTAGGTTTTTGGCAGATGTCTCTGAAGAATAAACAAGTGAACCACCAAAAAGCAAGCAGCTGGTCATCCCCAAAGCTGGTAGCAAACTGTGATCTTCCAACACTTGCTCAGTTGGCGTCCTCCGTGAGCTTGATCGCCTGAAGAACTCTACAGCTGTTCTTGTGGGATCATGACTTCACCACACGTACTATGTAGGGTTCTGGCCCAGTGTCAACCTCAGGACTAGCATACAAGGTTGTAAATCCACACATGGAGAGAAGGTGCGTTAACCTGCCAGGCCCTGATGCATTTTAATGTGATGCTTAATTTGTCAGGGTGTACAGAGGATCAGAGAGATGCTTTCCCAATACATTTCCTCTCCTCCATTTATTATCTGTGTGAGGCCATAGTTTTGTGTGCAGGAAGCAGATGCAGAGTGTAGCTTTGACTGTCCTCCACTAAGCTGGCTGTCAAAAATGTGCAGACCACAAACAAGGACGCTGCTGCCAGGACATCTTTAAAAAGTCATTTTTTCATTAAAAATGTTTGTGCTAGCAGTTAGTAGGTTTATCATTTTAAACAACTGGTTTTTTTTTTTTTTTGGTTTTTCGAGACAGGTTTTCTCTGTGGTTTTGGAGCCTGTCCTGGAACTAGCTCTTGTAGATCAGGCTGGTCTCGAACTCACAGAGATCCGCCTGCCTCTGCCTCCCAAGTGCTGGGATTAAAGGCATGCACCACCACCGCCCGGCTAAACAACTTTTAAAATATGTCATTTGTAAGTTTCTCAGATTTAATTTCTACTGTAGTAAACATCAATAGAACAACATTTTTTTTTTTTTGGAAAGATTTATTTATTTATTACGTATACAACATTCTGCCTCTATGTATGCCCGCACGCCAGAGGAGGGCGCCAGATCTCAGTACAGATGGTTGTGAGCCACCATGTGGTTGCTGGGAATTGAACTCAGGACCTCTAGAAGAGCAGTCAGTGCTCTTAACCACTGAGCCATCTCTCCAGCCCCTAGAACAACATTTTTAAAAAAGTTGTTGGTCTGGTGGTGGTGACGCATGCCCTTGATCCCAGCACTCAGGAGGTAGAGACAGGTGGATCTCTGTGAGTTCGAGTATAGCCAGGGCTGTTAAGACAGAGAAACCCTGTCTCAAAAACACCAAAAAAGAAAAAAAAGTTCTTGGCTGTTCTCAATAACTTTTAGATTGTAAAGAATCCTGAAATGCAAAATTTTGCAAATTGATGAGCTGTTTGAACCTAATGAAGTTACTCCGTGGCTTAGTTGGGGTTTCTCTTGCTGTGACGAAACACCATGATCAGAAAGCAAGTTGGGGAGAAAAGGGTTTATTGGGTGTGCACTTCCGTATTGCTGTTCTTTATTGAAGGAAGTCAGGACAGGAACTCAAATAGGGTTGGAACCTGGAGGCAGGAGCTGCTGCAGAGGCCGTGGAGGGGTGCTCTTTGCTGGCTTGCTCACATGCTTGCTCAGCCTGCTTTCTTACTGAGCCCAGAACCACCAGCTAGGGGTGGCACCACCCACCACTGATCACTAATTAAGAAGATGCCTTATACTGGATCTCATGGAAGCATTTCCTCTCTGATGACTCCATCTTGTGTCAAGTTGGCACAAAACCAGTCAGTACTCTCGGTTTGTTCAGTTAAAAAACAAAAAGGCAGAAATCCAGCTGGCCACACATCTTGGAGCTGGTTCCTTCCCACATACCTCCAGCTCCTCCCTGTCGCTCTTGCCTTCACATATTCCTCCAGCTCAGGATGAAGACTGTTCTAGAGACTTTGTCCAGCATGCCTGTCTGTCCGTTCGTCTGTGTACTGTCTTGTGTTCCCTGCAAGGGTCACTAGCATCCACTTCATAGAGAGTGTCTGCAATTATCACAGAAGGGCCGCTTTGTTTCCTGTTAAACAAGTGTGGGTGTGGTTGGAGGCAATCAGGCGATAGCTGAGTTGAATGCTTCTTCGAGACTATTGCAGTTGCCCAAATTTGGTGCTAAAGTTTTGGGATTACAGGGCCTAGACCTCGTTTGGCTGATCTGTATCACATGGCTGAACTGTGCCAAAACCCTTCATCTCTAGCATGCTGGGATGTCGGGCTGGAGTCCTCTCAGGTAGTGTCTACTGAGTACAGGATGCTGGAAGTCCATAGTTAGAGTGCGCTCCAATCTGGGCAGAGTGAGGAGCAGCTATGGTGTGGGGCGTCTGATACTCTTAGTGGTGAGGCAGTCTGAGAGAGGCTCCCCCAAACTTCATTTCTTTCCCCCCTCCCCTGCCTTCCCCTCTTCCTCCCTTCTCCTTCCTCTCCCTTCTCCTCCTGTCTCTTTCCCTCCCTTCCTTGCCTCCATAGTGAGCAAGCCTCCTTACAGCCTGGAGATTTGGTGGGTGTGATGTAGTTTGGCTCCTTCCCACTAAATTTGCTCTCTCCTCAGACACCTTCTGATGTCTCAGCAGACCCTGAGAAATGTTCCACCCATAGTGTTTATTCAAGACAAAAAAGATATAGTTCTGGCTGAGGTAAGCTTTTGAAATAATTAGCTTTTTTTAAAAAAAAATTTTTGTTTGTTTTTGAGACAAGGTTTCTCTTTTTAGCTTTGGAGCCTGTCCTGGAACTCATTCTGTAGACCAGGCTGGCCTCGAACTCACAGAAATCTGCCTGCCTCTGCCTCCTGAATGCTGGGATTAAAGGCATGCTCCACCAGCACCCTGATATTTATTAGATTTTTTTTTAATATTTATTTATTATGTATACAATATTCTGTCTGTGTGTATTCCTGCAGGCCAGAAGAGGGCACCAGAGCCCATTACAGATGGTTGTGAGCCACCATGTGGTTGCTGGGAATTGAACTCAGGACCTTTGGAAGAGCAGGCAATGCTCTTAACCTCTGAGCCATCTTTCCAGCCCTATTTATTAGATTTTTAAAAAGTTATGTGTGTGTGAGTGTTTTGCCTTTATGTATGACTGCATGTTTATATTACCCTCTGAGGCCAGAAAGGACATTTGGTCCCAGGAACTAGTGTATGGGTGCTGGGAATTGAACCTAGATCCTCTGGAGAAGCAACCGCTGATCCCAACCACTGAGCCATATCTGTGGCCAGCTATATTTCTTCACTTTTGTATGTGTGTGTATCTTAGTTAGGGTTTCTATGGCTATGATAAAACATATGATATCATATGATAAAACACCATGACCAACAGCAACTTGGGGATGAAAGGGTTTATTTCGACTTACAGTTTTTTTTTTAATTTAATTTATTTATTATGTATACAATGTTCTGTCTGCATGTATGCCTGCCCGCCAGAAGAGGGCACCAGATCTCATAGATGGTTGTGAGCCACCATGTGGTTGCTGGGATTGAACTCAGGACCTCTGGAAGAGCAGCCAGAGCTCTTAACCTCTGAGCCATCTCTCCAGCCCCCTCAGCTTACAGTTTTCTATCACAGTTCATCACTAAAGGAATTCAAGGCAGGAACTCAAACAGTACAGAAACCTGGAGGCAGGGACTGTGTATAATGTTGCTTATCACTTTGCTCCTCAGGGCTTGCTCCGCCAGCTTCTTTCTGTACCCGAGGTCTACCTACAGTGGTCCCACCCACAATCAATCTTTAGTTTAAAAAATGCCCTACAGACTTGTCTACAAGCCAGAAAATGCGTTTTTTCAGTTGAGGTTTCCTCCTCCCGAATGTCAGGTTGGTATGAAACTTGCCAGCACAGTGGGTGTGGAGGGCAGAGGACAGCCTTCCTCCATGTCTGTCCTGAGGTCCTACTCAGGACACTGCTTGGCTGCAAGTGTCTTTACCGACTGGGCCATCTCCCCTGCTCAAGTAGTTAGATTTTTATACTCATTAAACTTCAGTGAGTAAAATTTTAATATTTATCTTTTTTTTTTTTGGATTTTCGAGACAGGGTTTCTCTGTGGCTTTGGAGCCTGTCCTGGAACTAGCTCTGTAGACCAGGCTGGCCTCGAACTCAGATATCCGCCTGCCTCTGCCTCCCAAGTGCTGGGATTAAAGGCGTGCGCCACCACCGCCCGGCTAATATTTATCTTTTTTAAGACAGAGTCTCATTTTGTGGCTTTGGCTGGCCTAGAACTTGCATTGTAGACTAGGCTGACCTTAAACTCACAGAGATCTACCTGCTTGTGACTCCCGAGTGCTGCTGCCTTTGGTTCAGGCCCCTTGAGCCCACAGAGTGGGCCCTGTGGCTGTGACTGACCTTCGTGTCTGATCTGTCCATACTAGAAACTTCCTCTTCCCAAACGCTCAGATTCTGTGGCAAAGTGGAATCGTTTTGCGAAACTACTTTAGAAACCAGTAACTACTAGTTACACCATTCACAGATTTGTCTAATGTTGCAATAACATTCTAACCTCAGTCGTCGTCAGAGAGCTTGTGGTGGGTTGAAGCGCCAGCAAGGGTGTGAGGCATAGACTGTTGTGCTGCCACATTGAGAAGGCGTCTGGGTGGCATTGACTGAAGCCGGAGGCACGTGCTGGGCTGCGTGAGAGGCTGTGATGCCGTTCCTGGGCAGCAGAGGGCGGAGCTGAGGTCTGCCTTCTCCATGCTTTCTTCTCAGGTAGATCGCTTACTGGCAGTGGCTGACTTTGGACCCCCAGAGGAAAGGGACGACTTGGCACAAGACGGTTTGAGGTGAGGCTTGTGGACATCTTTCTGTCCCCTGTGACAGATGCTTAGGCTACAGCAGCCACACAATCTGTGTCTCCACTAGCCCACATTGCCCCGTGGTACCTGCCCCTGGGTCCAGCATGTGCCTGCATAGTTCTGGTGGCTGCCCGTACACACCCATACTCAGATGAGGAAAACTGGGGGTTCACACACTGACCAATACCAGCCGTGGTCTCTGACTTTGGAGAACCTAAATCAGTGTCACCTTTCTATGTCCCTGTCACCCTCAGACAAGTTCAGTAGTGCGAGGAGATGTAACAAGTGTTCTCTGCAGATGCTTAGGTCCAAACCCCCTGGTTTGGAGCTTGGTTTGGGTTCTGCATGAAGGACTCTTTTCTTCCTCTGCCCCCACTCCCCAGGAGTCCTGAAGGCCTGTCATCACACGATGCCCTGGAACCAGCCACACCCCCAAATCTGTGCGGGATTGACCACGAGGCCTTGACTAAGCAAATAATGGAGTACAAGCGCAAGAAGGAGAAAGGACTCCTTCCGTGTATGAGCCTGGTGCAACCGTCAGGGCGGGAGCCGCTGCCTGACGTGACTCATCTGCTGCGAAGGAGAAAGAAGACATCATCCCGCCGGCACTGGGACACTTCCCCCAGAAGCGTCAGTTTGGGTGAGGACGAGGATGAGGACGAGGACAGCAGCAGCACAGAGTTTGAGTGCCAAGGCCACGAGGCAGAAGAGGAGTGGGAAGCAGAGGCTAGAAGTGATGGGGTGCAGCAGGGGCTCCATGGCCAAAGAGAACAGGGGCAGGGGTGAGGCCTTGGTGCTGGCTGCCCCTGCCCCTCAGAGTGTGGTCTGCACTTCAGAGACGGCTGGTGAAGGAGGTCTAGGCCATTCTCATGCTGTTTGTCATTCAGCTAGCTGAGCAATTCCTATCCTCACTGGTTTTTCTTCATCATTCATGTGTAACTAAAATAAATGACATCCCTGAGAGACTCACAGATGTGCTACATCTTCCCTCACAGTCGCTGGCACAGGCAGCCCGGCCTCCGTAGCAGGAGAGTTAAGCGCAGAACCCCTAGGCCTGCACCTGCAGACCTCCACAGCCCATTATTAGTGCTTGGTCCCTGTCCCTGGATGACTTCTCTTTAATAAAGTATCTTGTATTTTTTGAGAATTTCATGCATATGTACAATATATTTTGATCATAACTACTTCTCTTGTCTCCCTTCTAACCGTCCTAGGATTTCTGCCCCTAAGTCTCCCTCCTAACTTCATGTCTCACTGACTCTAGTTAGTGCTGCTCATATGTGCGTGGGTGCAGGACCGGCACTGGAGCACAGACAACCTATGAGGGGCTGTGCTGCCCCTAAAGAAAACTAACTCTTGCTGGGTGGTGGTGGCACATGCCTTTAATCCCAGCCCTTGGGAGGCCGAGACAGGAGGATCTCAGTGAGTGTGAGGCCAGCCTGGTCTACAGAGTTATAGGACAGCGAGGGCTGTTACACAGAGAAACCCTGTCTCGAAAAAAAAAGAAAGAAAAGAAAGAAAACTGACTCATTTCCCCCAGTAGCCATGAACCACCAGTACCTCCTTGACTGGCGAGGCCTGGGAGACCATGCTCCTTCCGTCTGGAATGGTGGCTGGCGTGATCACCTTGTTCTGGCTGCCGTCTGCTGTGAGCTCAGAGTGCAATGACTTGTCGTTGCAGGACACTGTTTTACCCCAGTCCTTCCTGACCTCTGGCCTTACAGTCTTCCCCCTGTCTCTTGAAAATTATTCCCAGAGATCTGAGGAAGAAAGTGTGCTGTAGATAAATCCCATTCAGGGCCACAGGTACTCGTCCCTGTGAATACTGCTGTCCACTCTCTGATGAAGGCAAGAGCTACACTAATCTATGGGTGTAAAGATAAATACTCAGAAGGCAGTTTGATACTATGTTCATGTAAGCAAAGTGAAGCAGGTTCTCTGGGCCTTATGATCTCCCAACCACAGGTTCTTAAAGTCCCAGGCATGAGTCGTCTTCTGTAGAGTGGACCTTAGATCCAATCATAATGTCACGGGTTGCTACTTTAGTGTGTATGTCTCTGTTGCATTGATGGGCATATCTTGCCAGGCTGGCCATTATTGTAGCTCACAGGATCACAGCTCGGCAAGGCGTTTGGTGCCTTTTTTCCTGCAGTAGCCTACATAGCGTCTTCTAGTACCATGAAAGCTGCCCAGCAGGGAGAACGTTTTCAGTACCCACTGGAATACACCATGTTGTATGACCAGCGTGTGTGCCATCTCCAGCAATAAGGCGTTACTGTCAAGATCTGTTGGACAGTTACGAGCATTGGTAATAGCTTTTGCCTTTTCAGAGAAGTGTCTCTGGAGCCCCCTTAGGCTCTGTATGACTTCTTAATCACAACTTTGTGTGGAGGCTGTGATGGAGCAGAAAGAGTGTATCACAGGTTTGGTGGGGTGCCCAAGTGACCCTGGCTGTGACCAGGATAAGATAATGCCATAGTGACAGATGTTTTTATTTTGGCTTGGTGACCCCTCCTCCCACTCCCATGTGTATTTCCTGAAAGGCATCCTTGAGCCAGCTGACCTCATCTTTACCAGCTTGGAAGTCTCTGCCTCTTGGACACAAGCTATGAACAGCTCTATTGTACTAAATTTTTGTATGAGCTCCAAGGGGAAGGCTCATTTTGCTGTTCATGCTCCACCTTGTAAATTACCTTTTGGTTTGTTTTAAACGCCAAAACATCAAGACGGGACTCAAAAAGTGAAAAGCACGCTACCAAGACTGCAGAAAAGATCCTCATTTCCAGTGAGCTGAAGCAAGATTATGGCCATGCCTAGGAGCTCGGTTGAATGGGACTCAGATTGCCCACTCAGCTTGTGCTCAGATGGCTATGGGTGCCATAATGACATCTGATAACTCCAATAATTAAGCAGTGACATCCAGCCACTTAGTCATAGCTAGTCATCAGCTGTCTTTCCAGGACAAGTGATGTGGGATGTCTATCTGTATGCTGTGAGTATGTCTTGCTTGTATTGGTTGATGAATAAAGCTGCTTGGGCCTATGGCAAGATAGGATAGAGCCAGGCAGGAAATCAAACAGAGATCCAGAAGAGGAAAGGCAGAGTCAGAGATGCCAGTGATGCCAGTGAGCTGCTAGAGCAGCAAGTTGTACTGGAGAACAGGTAATGCCACAAAACTATGTGGTGATACACAGATGAATAGAAATGGGTTAATAAGCCTGAGCCATCAGCCAAACAACTATAATTAACATTAGGCCTCTGAGCGAATTATTTTATAAATGGCTGTGGGACCGGCAGGGACACAGAAAAACTTTCAACTACAAACAAGTTTAATCAAGTCAGTATCTGTAAATGTCTCTTAGGTTGATGGCAAAACAGTGAGCCCTTGTTACCTACAGATTCCAAGCTTGAGAATTCAGCTGCTCTGTCATGGCACCTTCAGCAACCCAGGACCCACACAGAAGACTCTGGGTCCTCCTTCAATGTGTCTGTACTCCCAGCTGTGATGGAGTCGGCCAGCACTCTGCATTCGTGCAGGTCTCCGTAAGTGTCCTTTGCGTGGACTTTCTCCTTAGTCATATATTTGCACCTCTTGGTGGTAGTTGTCCTGTTTAAAACAGCTCCAAGCTGGTCATGGCAACTCAGACCCATGATCTCAGCATTCAGAAGGCAGAGACAGAGGCAGGAGAATTGAGTTTCCAGCCTGGGTTATACAGCAAGACCCTGTCCCAAAATCAAAACAAAACGAACAAACAAAACACAAAATCTCAGACTCAGAGGAGGAGTGCATCTATCAGTCCCCACCTGAGCCCATAATAGCCTCACCTAGTTGTATACAGTTGCTGTCTACATTCTTACATGCAGCCTTGAGAGTATACCCTAAGAACATGCACACATGTGAGTCCCTGGTGTGTCTCATGCACATGCATTCATGGTTTGTCACACATAAATGTGTGTCTAGAAGTATATGCATGAATGCTTGCATGTACAAGTATGCATAGACATGTCTAGGAGTACCGCATGTACAAGTACAGGATTGCACGCCTTGTGTATGCATGTGTATGAGTACCCGTGTGTGCATGTTTATGTGTGTACATGTGAATGTAACTGCATGTGATGGTGGGGATGCCTGTGTGTAATGTATGCATGTTAGGCATATGCGTGCCTTCTGTGTGCTTATGTGTGAGAACCTATGTGTACTGTGTGTGCATAGACTGTTAAGAGTTGGGGGTTCTACAGCCTAACAGTGCTGGGCTCCACGGGGCTTGTACAAATACTTTGTCATTGCTGGAAACCTTGTCCTGGGATGTGGTTGCCTTGGGAAGCCTTGGCTCCATGGGAGGAGAGAAAAGCTGGGTCTGAAACATGGAATCCCAAGTTCTGAGAACAATAACCGTGGAGGCCTTTTGCCTCCTCTTGTCTGGAAATCAGAAGTTTTAGAGAATGTTCTACTGTGGGTTCTGTGGTCACAGCAAGTCCCCCGGCTTGTAGCCTCTTCTTCTACTGGGACCTTGGTCTCTAACTTGCGATAGGAATTCTGAGAGGGTCAGTCTGGGAGACAGGTCTTGCCAACCCCAAAACACATCTGGTAGGAGCAATCTCAAGTGATGGTTTATAAATACATGCCCCAACCTTTCAGGAAGCTGAGTAGGGAGAACTATAAGTCAAAACCAGCCTGGGCTGTAAAGCCAGCCCTGAAAGACCCTGTTAAAAATCAATTAGCTGTGCCATGGTGGTGCGGACCTTTACTCCCAGCACTCAGGAGGCAGAGGCAGGTGGATCTGAGTTTGAGGCTAGCCTGGTCTACAGAATGAGTTCCAGGACAGCCAAGGCTATACAGAGAAATCCTGTCTCAAAACAAACAAACATCAGTTAATGAAAAGATTGCAGCATCCCGCCCCACCCCCAAGTACAGTGCCTTCAGGTTACAAGGCTTTCATAATTGACTATGTTGACTCTGTGGGAAATATTAAACTTTTGCAAACACAATGCAGAATCTGAGCTGGGAATAACATTGATTTATGGGCTACTATAAAGTGAAGTGTCCAAAGTGGTGACATCATAGTGGTATTCCCCCACACCCACTTAAAGTGCACAGCTGAGAAGACATTTGCTTGTTAGCCCTTGTATTTAGGGTTGTTGTCTATACCACTGGTGCCCTTTACCCCCTTGTCCTTCTGCCCTGACCTGCACCGGCTGTCCTGGCCCCCCAGAGCCTGGGGAGTTCAGTTTTGAGGAGCGCAGCTCAACTATTTAGACCAGCCCTTGTTGCATTTGAATGGTGTTTTCTCAAGGTTTGCTAAGAGCAAGCATCTCACATCGGCCATGCATGTTCTCAGCTTGGGCTGTTGTCAGTTGGAGTACCTGCTGGTAGGCCCACACAGGTGATACCTGGGAACCTCTTCATTGTGAGGCCACTTTCTCCTGTGCCTGGTCAGGGGAGTTACTCAGATGAACTCAATGTTCCTGTTTCGTTCAGCAGTATATTCTGTCATCATGCTCATATACCTTGAAGCCACATTACCCCCGTAATTACTTGTGTTATGAGTGTCCTATAGCTGTCCTAACAAAGTACCACTAACTTGCTGAAAACTATAGGAACTTAGTTTTGGTTCTGGAAACCAGGGCCCTCTAAGGCTCCAGGAAGTGTCCTTTTGTTTCCCCTTTGCAGACCCAGAGCATCTGCTGGATTTTTCCAGGTCCCCACCTGTGCCTGCCTCCCATCTTCCCATATCCAGATCTCCCTCAACAGTTTTCCCATGAAGATACTTGTTTTACTAGAGCCCACCAGCTCCAGGATCATGATGTTTTGAGATCCTTAGCTAACTCATCATGAGGACTATTCCCAAATGAGATTTTTTTCTGGAGCTGCATGGTTGCTCACCAGAATGGCTATTCTCCTAGCACTGCCCACCTCCCTGCTCCATTGCTTCTTTTCTGCCCCATCCTAGAGTGGGACATTTGGCTCCCTTCAGAGGGGAAGGAAGGGTAGTAACTGGGACATGGATACAAGAGGTGCCCACTGCTGTTGGTGCCAGGGAAGAGCTGGGCAGCTCTGGGCATACTGTGCCTAACTTGGTGGCTGTAGTCTACGCTGAGGAGTGCAGGTGGAGACACAAATCCTTTGGAAGCAGATGCTAGGAAGGA